TTGAGTGACACTAGAGTAATTGAGAAGATACTTAGGTTTTTAGATTCTAAATTTGACTACATAGTTGTAGCCATTGAGGAATCTAAAGATCTAGATAGTATGAGTGTCGATCAACTCATGGGATCTTTACAAGCCCATGAGGAAAGACAAAAGAAGAAGGTGGAAGAAGAGTCATTAGAGCAAGCTCTTCAAACAAACCTCACCTTGAATAAGGGTGAAGGAAAGTTCAGCAATAGGAGAAGCCAAAGGGGAAGAGGACGTGGCCAAAATCAAGGAAGAAGTGCATTATACAAGGAGGAAAGAAGCCTAAGCTTGTTTTCCACTAGAGGTTATGGAAGAGGAAAAGGTACGAGGCAAAATGAAAGGCCAAGGTATGACAAATCTCAAGTTAAATGTTACAATTATCAAAAATTTGGCCATTATGCTTTAGAATGTAGAAATGGTAATAACCAAGTCAAGGAGAAAGCCAACTATGCTAGTTAAGAAAATGAAATGGATCCTACACTATTGATGGCATACAAAGGTGAAGAAAGCAAGGAAATAAACACTTGGTACTTGGATACGGGAGCAAGCAACCATATGTACGGAAGAAGAAACATGTTCGTATGAATCGGTAAGCGGCAATATTACTTTTGGAGATGAATCGAAGATCCCCGTGAAAGACAAAGGTAAAATCTTGATTCGCTTGAAGAATGGTATGCATCAATTTATCTCAAATGTCTACTATGTGCCCAATATGAAGAATAATATTCTGAGCTTGGGACAACTCTTAGAGAAGGGCTATGATATTTATTTGAAAGATCATAGTGTTTCAATAAGAGATCAAAGCGAAAATCTGATTGCTAAAGTCCCTATGACAAGAAATAGAATGTTTGCATTAAGCATTCAAAAATGATGTTGCTAAATGCTTAAAAGCTTGTTTTAAAGATTTATCTTGACTCTGGCACTTAAGATTTGGGCATCTTAATTTTGGGGGCTTAAAGTTGTTAAGTAAGAAGAAGATTGTAAAATGTTTGCCTCTAATAAATCATTCGGATCAATTATGTGAAGGATGCTTACTTGGGAAGCATTCGAGGAAAAGTTTTCCAAAAGAAGCATCTACAAGATTTTCTTAACACTTTTTTATAGCGGAAATGAGTGACAACTCTTGACTGCACGGGGAAGAAAGTACCAAGCTTCTTGAAGATTACCCTGGTAACGTTTTGGTTTATACGTCTACATTTTGCATGATTCACCCCACTGATTTTGATTCTAATTTCCAAAAAGATCGTAGACGATCTGTTTCTCGAAATAGAACTACGCCCAAAATGGTTTTGATTCATATGACTGCATCTTGCACTTAAGTAGGTCAATAAGACTGAATTGAGTGTTTCTTGATTGCAAAATGTGTAGAAATATAATTTTTGCAACAATTTTCTGTGAAGGCAGAGTGAAAAGGAAGAAAAAGATTAGAATGGTATGTATAGTCCCAAGGAAATTCTAGAAGTCTTTGGACTATTGGGGTCGTTTAACAGAAGACCGAATTTGTATGTTAAATCTCAATTGTTTGGTTGTTTGGTCTAACAATGTAAGGATCCTAATCATTTGAAGGCCGCCAAAAATAGAGACCGTCAATTTAAATTTATGGGTTGTTTGACAAATCTTTTGATAAAAGTTTTAGCAGATTTTGATAAAAGTTCATGAAATATATGGTTAAAGAGTTGATAAAAGTTTCGTGGTCCATGAGATGTCTGGTTAAAGTTGAAGTTTCAAGATGAACAAGCACTTAATCGAACTATAATTTTCAATTTGATAAAATTCATGAAATTATTTTATTGTAGAACTTTTTTCCACTGTGTTGGTAGAGCTTAGGATCTCGTATAGGCCATTATTGGAGTTTTGGTTTTAGTGGTCTTGAAGATATCAAATTATGGACCGGAGAGAAAAAGTCACCACAATTTCGCTAGTTGGCCGCTAGCTGTGGTGCTAGAACGGCATTGTTAAGTACTCAACAGAACCCTGGTTCTCGAGTGGAGGAGCTGCCGCACGCCGGTGCTCAAGCGGCTGATATATCCAAGAAAATTTTATTTCTTTCAATTAACGCGATTTTGATAATCTTCCCAATCATAACATATTCTTTTAGGTGCTACATATAGTACTTAGAATGAGCATAGATTTTCACGACAAAGAAGAAAGGACTAATCTCAATCTATGATCGAGAAGATAAGTGTACAATAGAATTAGGTAGTCCAACAAGATATTGAAGGACACCTATTGTCAAAGTCGCAAACTTCAAATCGATGAAATTCCACAATTACAATTTGAGTCAGACAGCAATCATTAACAAATGAGCAATCTTATTGCCTCAATTTATAGAAAATATTTAAATTATACATTCGGATTGAAGTGGTATAGTAAAATTGAAAAAAAAAAACACCTAATTTCTAGCTTTAAAAACATCCAACAAATATAGAAAGAGGTTGAGGACATCAAGATACAGGGAAATAGAAGCCCAAATGTACTTATCATAAGAAAATCGCTTGATCAGATTATTGGTGTCGTAAATTATGTTTGCACAGAATCCGATTGAAACGAGAATCCCATAGATTGTCGTGGAGATGCTACCAAGAGGGAAGAAGATCTATGAATATCGTAATATTAAGTTGTTATACACTCAGGATAAGCCCCACGGTCATGTAACGTGAAGAATAAGTCTTTCTATCTGAATCAGAATAAACAAAAGCAGCACAATAAGACATCCGAATATGAATGCTGGTAGAAATATGAAATCTTCACCTCTCTTTGCTGCCCAGAATGTGTATATAGTAAGACTAATAACTAGCACTACTGTTAGGATAATTGTCTCTAGAATAACTTTCCCTGTTTCCAATTCAATCCAAAAAGTCAGTCGAGTATGAGGATGTTTGAGCTTTTTCAGAAGTTACTTTGCTTTGAAATAAGGTGAAACTATATTAAAGAGAGAAAGGGTCTAAGATACTACCCAAACACGAACTTACAAAGTCCAACATAAAGTAATTTCATGCAAATTAAGGAGCATTTACCATGTTTGAGAAGTATTTATAGACCGTTTAAATCATAAATAGTTATAAACGAATGGTGGATAAGTGTTTTTGTAGGCACAGAATGCCAGTTTCTGCAAATTAAGGAGCAATTCTAAAAGAACAAATAATCTCCTATGTCCCTTTTCATTCAGAATGAAAAAATAGCATCAAAATAGAAGTTGTGAAGCATAATCACCCTGCACACTTATCACTCGACTTGAAATTGACATAATATTCCGAACAAAGGTTTTTTAGAGGCCACTTTTGTGTGATTCTCACGTGAATCTATATACGAATCTCTAGGTTGTCTTCAATTGGAATTTATTAAATTTTAAAAGATTATAAATTGTTAGGTTTTTAGTTGTATTGGCAATTCTTTAGACAAAATGATTATTGTAAAAGAATAGGATTGTTAGAAAAGAGTTGTAAAAGTCAATGAGTCTTTGGAGTGTCGTATAGATGAATTAGGAGTCTTTGGGTTCGAGTATGGAACAAGAAGGAAGAGTCGTTGGATTTACGCTAGCGTGTCACCTAGCTGATGCTCGAGTGTCCAAAGTAAAATAATTGTCACCCGACTTTCGCTCAAGCTACACACCTCTCACTCGCTTGGCGCTCAAGTTAGGGTGTTTTTTGAGAAATCCTAGTTTGCGTTTTTCAAGAGTTTTATCTATCATATACTATCTAAACTCCACCTATTATAAATACTCAATGCCTAGTACCTTTTTTTTGTGGTGGTTGATCATTGTTTTACATTTTTATATCATTATTTCAAGATCCAAGAATACATCTAAATATTTAGATTAACATTTTGATTCTTGAGATCAATCAACCAAAAGTTTGGAAAAAACATCAAAATCATATAATTCAAAACACACACTTCCTAGATATCATCAGGAAAGTACTTTCTCAATAGCTTTCAGAGGTTACTGAACATTGAGGGATGTTGGATCAGCAGTACAGAAAGAGTACAAGAACGAGGTATTGTTGGGGTTCCATAGGAGAGACAATTTCAGAAGATCGGGAGAAGGTGTGAGAGAAACACGTTCTAGCGAATCTTGGAGATTGCAGGAATTAGATTAACAAGTCTAGTGAGTTTTCTACGCTGGATCATACTGTAAATTCTTATTGTTTATAATGGAAACTACTGGCTTGATCCAAGAATTTTTACCCAGTTGAGGGTTTTCTCCATCATCAAATATTGTATTTTTAGTGCTTTAATTATTTATTGCGACAATTTAACATATAATAACTTGACTTGATTGATTAAACATCTAGAATAATTAAAAAGTGACATGTTGCTTATAAATGATAAATTTATTTATGCTTTATTCGCCTATTAGTTGATTTTAGAGTTGAACTAGTAACTTTCATAAATTCTAATAAATTTTGTGAATTCTAGTCTTTACCACTGTAGTAAGCACAAACGACGCCCAATGCAAAACCAGAAGCCACCGTGAAGATCCCGAGCAGAAAGAAGTTGAGTGGATGCTTCTGCCGATAAAAATATAGGGGACACAAAACTGCAACCAAAAAGAAATTTTAAATCATATACAAAACTCAGTATAAATCCCAAACAATATTACCTTTTCATATTTTTTTTATTAACATACCAATAAGAGGAATCAAAACGATGACAATGTATATTGCAAGCCCAATCCGAGTGGTGGAAAAGAAGGCAGCAATGGGATGAACAATTACCACAACAGAAGCAACAGCAATGGTGAAAAGCAATTGAACAATAATTATCAAATAAACTTTTCGAATAAAAGCCCACCGGAGCTCCGGGCTTTCCTGCATTAATGGGTACAATAGGTTGGTTCCGGCTTCCACGTCATCTTTTCGGGATGTTTGGTTCGACATTTTATCAACTCAAGAAAGTACTACCGACGGTTCTTGATGTCCCAGTTTAGATATTACAAAAGAAGTGGTTTTGGTATATGTATTTATATATGCATGTACAGAAAAGGAAGAGTCGATGTGCAATAAGTTTAGCATCGCCTTCACCTACCGAAACTTTAAAAGTTGCAGCGATGGTGGAACCATCAAAAACGTGTTAATTGATATATTATTACAGCCACTAACAAGACTCACAATGGCATTTTCTCGCAACTTGCCATTTGAGTAATTAGTTTGTTTCGCGCGGGTAGTTGCTAACAATTAAAAAGAAATTCAGATGATTGTGTAAGGGACAAATCTCTTGAGACAAAGTCCCAAAAAGGGGTGTTTTATTGATGAGAGTTACAATTGGAACTAAACAGAATGCCTCTAAGGGGCGCAAGCACACGAGTACTGACAGAAGGCTAATTAAAGTTAATCTAAGAAATTAAAATTACATATTCTCTGTTTGAGAGTTTTTGATTCATGGTCTTTTCCTCTATGTCTATTCTTTCCTTTTATACTCCCATAACGACTTCTGCGTGACAAAATGCTTGGAAACTGCTACCCATTTTCTTCATGGGCTTAATTTGTCGTGGAACTGCCATCTCTAACTGCGGTCATTACTTTTCGTTGTTCAACTGCTTTCAAAGAGGTTTCTTAAATCGTGGGATGTGATAATTAGCTTGATAACTGTCTCAATAACCGCTATTCTGGAAGACCATAATATCTCACATTTTAGGATTCTGGGTGACTCGAAGGCCTGAGAGAAAACGAGGCTATTGGTCTAAGTGACAGTGAGGCACTCCACTCGTCAATTGCACCGGCCAATGTTGGCCTCAATGAATTCTACTTAGGTCCATCATTCAATAATGCCGAAGCCATTGAACAGGTGGCAGTAGGCTAGTTGTTTCCTTGCACTGAGGACCTTCTATTTCTGAACTCTCTACATTGAAACCAATCCGTAATAAAGGTATTCGTACTTGGCCAAAACCTGATCCTAATTTTCGTAGATGGCAGGCACGTATGATGAATCATGGTCCTACCAAATCAATTTTTGATCGTGCTAAAATTTTGGACTTATTAGAAATTACCCTTTTTCCCCCGACTTATGACCCAGTGCTCTTCCCAGTCGTCCTGAGTTTCTGGTCCTCTGAGTACAATACTTTTATCTTTCCTCCTGGCTCAATATCTATTACTCTAAAGGATGTTGGAGCCTTAATAAATTTTCCACCCTTGGGTGACACTATCTTTCTTGGTATTTTGATTTCCAGTGTTGCCCCTCAATTTGACAAGAAGATTGCTGAATCTTATTCAAGCATGCAGGGCTTTTATACTGCTTCCATTTCTGAGCCTACCCATGCTGAGCGTGTTGCTTTCCTTCAGGTTTGGCTTTGTAAATATATTCTTTGCGTCTCCAGCCTAAAACCCTCTTTGAGTTATCTGCCTCTATCGCATGAATTAGCACGTGGCAGACCCTTGAACTTGTGCTCATTCTTTTTGGCCGCCTTGTATAGAGGCATGGCTTCCCTTCAATTCCAATTGCGGAATGGTGCGTCTCCTACTGTAGTGGGCCCATGTGGCATGCTCAATTGTGGTTGAGAGCCTATTTTCCACAACTTGGTGCTCCACCGTCTCTCCCTCGAACAGTTAGTTGTTATGGGCTATTTATTCATCAGATGAGCTCTGTAAATATGTCAATTAGGGACGTTTTCACATTCTTTTACACTTTGAATTCAACGCCTTCTTTCTTTCCTTTCTCTCCACATCAAATTCATTCATACGTACGGCCACCTACTACCTTAGCCGAAGTGAGCACCTCTTTACCTATTTGGGTCCATTTTTTGGTTGAAAGAGAATTGTTCCATGACATTGTCACAGGAACAAATGCTAAAGCAGGGGTTGAGATATATGCTCTTCAATTTTTTGCTCGCCAACTTGGTTTTGACCGAACATGGCTTTTCCTTCCTTGTTACTCTAAAAGTTTGGCCGAGCGTTTCCATATTATTAGCAAAACTGAAGCACAACCCATTGACATTCGTAATAACCGATTACCTGAAAGTTTCTCTTTAGCCCATTTCAGTTCCACCACTGTTACACATCCTCTTTTTGAACAGTTTTGGCCATCAGTGAAACGTAGACTATTTGTAACTGATGCTAATCGCGCCTTCCATTTACTGGACCGATCAAACACTTCCTCTGCCTCCCCTATTTTGGCCGCTTTTGTGTCCATTAGGAGTCCTTTCTCACCAGCTCGGGTTAAACGTTCTATTCCTCCGTCTTCTTCTCCTTCTGCTAAGACCATCACATCCAAAGGCACCTCCAGCCGCAAACGGCCAGCCTCGACATCCCTCATTTTGCAAGATGATGATGATGATGTTCCTCTCATTCTTAGGAGAAAGGTAACCGAGTCTGTTTATTCACAAACATACTTACTTATGTACTAATGGTTTACTTGAATTCCTCAGAAGAGTTCAGCCTCCCTTTCGAAGGCTCTAGTTTTGACACATCCTGTTTCATCGCCCTCTGCAGAGGATGCTTCATCCAAATCAGCTGACAAAGGGACTATGCTCAAAGACAAACCCCTAGTCCCAGAATCGTCATTGCAAGCAGCAGCAAGATCACAGCCAGTAGAAAAATCATCTATTTCCCAGGCCGTCGACCTCCCAAATGTTGAACCGGAAGGTAGTACATATTCTAATATGTTTTACCTTTGCTTGTACTTCTGGTTTTTATTCGTTGCTTTCTTGAACTATACAGAGGCTCCCATGGAGCTGCCCATTGTGGCAAAGTCTTCCCGTCCAGACAAGGATAAATCTCCACAGGTGGTGGAGGCAACTGCTGACATGCCTGAATTCCCCAGGATTGATGATACAGTAAACTTTTAACTCACTTTCATCTTCACTTTGCTCGTCATGGTGAAGGTCGTTATAGTTGGCTTCTTTCTTTGCAGGGTACTGATAATATTGTGCGTTCCATCCAAGACTTGTTCACTTCCGGGGAGCAAGTAAAGACACCTCGCCCTACTTCAACCAGTCATTCTTCTACTTCATCTTCCAATTTTTTGGAAGAAAATATGAAGTCTCCGAAGCAGCAGTCAATATTCGAGTACATGTCTTTCATGAACATCGAAATTGGCCAGGCCAGAGCTGCTAAACAGAAGGATAAGTTTGAACTGTTGAGTGCAAAGTTGACGCAAGCTTTTATGCTCTATTCGCTCAACATTTCTGTCGACTTTAAAACGACATTGAGGGTTGTCCACTCTGA